AACAACTATGTTCTACTTTCATTTTGAATTACACATTTTTTTTGATTATCATCATTTTTTTCAAATATTATTAAATTCCATTTTGCTGTCAAATTAGTTACATATTAAAAATGTCAATTGTCAAAGTAAGTAGGTATAGTATATGCAGTTTTAGTTTTTTCAGTTCAGTATTTTTTGTCTTCTTTTTCAAACAAAATAATAGTTCCAATAATAAAGTACATTAACCCCTCTTCTCTACTATATATACACAAAAATGAAATGCTATTAACTAAAAAGGACTCTATAGAAAAAGTACTAAAAATGAGGACATTTAGAAGCATATTGCCATCATTGTGTGCGTATGTATATCTTTGGAACTATAATTGAAATTATTAAAAAAATATCGATTGAATTTCAATGACTTGTTAAAAAGTCGAAAAAAAACTACAAAAGAAATGAAACATTGTATAGGAAAAAGGAGGAAAAAACGAAACTGAAAACTTTAAATTGTTAACTTAATATAAGTAGGAAGTAATACATAGAAATAATCAAAAAATGTTGTAGACCAAACTAAATATATTTGTAGAGTGGTTAGTAAGAGTTTACAGTGGAAAATTTAATAATTTATAAATATACTTGTTATTTTTTTGTATGTGTTTGTAAATATGTTTGTTTGCTTTAGTCAAGTTGATAAGTATATATATGACTACTGCAAAACTATTAATAAAACATTTTACCAACCGCTATTTTCACTCACATACCTTATTAAAAGTATACGGGAAACTTGGTTGGTCAATTGAAAATTCTGTTATTAACAAAAACGCATGAAAGTATTCAGACATTGTAATCAGAATGGTATATCGCCACTGGTAAAGGGAATCTATGAAACATACTTCTGCAGCTTTAGTTAATTTAATTTTAAATTTCATAAAATTATCTTGAAAATTGCGACCATGTTGAATGGAGATACAATCGGACAGATAGAGAGATAGACAGACAGACGGACGGACGGATAGACATAGCTAAATCAACTAAGAAAGCTGGATATAGAGCAATTATTTTGGCTTATAAGTTGTATATAGAGCAATTATATTGGCTGTAACAAACATCAAAACAATTCCATAATACAGAGTTTTTAATTTCATTGTTAACACATCGATATATTTCTTGCATTCTGGGACAGACAGACAGACAGACAGACAGACAGACAGACAGACAGACAGACAGACAGACAAACAGACAGACAGACAGACAGACAGACAGACAGACAGACAGACAGACAGACAGACAGACAGACAGACAGACGGACGGACAGACAGACAGACAGACCGGTGTACATAGCTAAACCAACTAAGAAAGTGATTGGTATACTTTATGTTGGATATAGGGCAATTATTTTGGCTGTTACAAACATCAAAACAATCCCATAATACTGAGTTTTTAATTTCATTGTTAACACATCGAAATATTTCCTGCATTCTAGGACAATTTACAGAGAAAAAATTTTAATCAATAAAGAAATTCATGCAATCATACTAAACACTTTTCATATTAAGTTAGACCTGCCACTAAATTTGTAAATAAGTTCTTGAAAAAATTATTAGAAAATATATTAAAACATATAAATTAGTTAATGAATCTTAGCGACTTTCAACCTTAAATAATTCCTCTAAAAAATGACTCATTCGCTCACTCACTAATATTAAAAAGTAATAAACTTTTAGTTGTACTTTAAGAAAAAAAAAAATAATAATAAAATAAAACTACATGACTTGTTGTTGTACAATTGTTGCACAATTATTATTGCTTTAAGGCTATTGGGTTGGTAGAAAAACGCATGAAGAATGTATTGCAGAGTCATGTGACTGGCGTGCGCTATGTCAAAAAGGTAGTCGCAATTGTATGTGTCGTAATATTATAAAAAAAAAAATTTAAAATGATTACGTGCTCATGTTAAAAGAAATATCCTTTAATTTTTTTCTACTTACCTTTTTCTTTTGCTATTTTATCAGGAGTTTTCTACTAGTGAACACTTCTTACGACACATATTGCAAATATGTATGTTTTAAATACACAAACACAAGTAAATACATAAATACATATGTAGTATATTCAATATTGTACACATGACCACTTCAAAGTTAATTTTCTGTTTGTTGGTTATTGGGTTTGTGAGTGTAGATGCATGGTTTAAAAACTGAATATTAGGGTAGTCTTTTTAATTTTTCGAGAGTTATGGGTCGTATATTGTTAACAATTATTCTTTATACTATAAGTTTTGTGTTTGTCTGTTTTTTAAGTTAATATTCTTTACAGATGTGGTTAGTTTGGTAAATAAAACAGCCACTATCAGTACATTACTACTCAAACTATCCTACATAAACTTGGTCCCGGTCGAACTAAAGGAATTCTCGGTATACAAAAAGTAACACCGTAGTGGTAAGTAATAAAAATTTATATTCCTAAACACACATACACACAAAAATATATAAATTTTTATATGCATAAGAGGTCAGTCTGAAAAACTATTTAAAACAATTTTAATATGGAAATTTGTGAACATTAATTCAAAACAATTTTCAAAATAATGGTTACATTACGGAATAAATTACAAAAAGTTCGGATTACTATGTAGTAAACTATATTGAAAAACGAATTTTTAGCCTACCTTCATTTAAAAATACATTGACATCACTCTGATGCTACATATACATAAGTAAATGAAAAATCGATCGATTTGTTTTTATGCATGTACTACATATACATATTTTTCATTGTTTTTTACATATTTAATACATCTACGTGCATGTAAGGTTGTATGTTACGCATAAGTATTAATTCATTGTGGCAGTCAAGTTATAGTAGAAAAAGAAACAAAAAAGAGTTGAAAAAAACTACAACATGCATTTTCATCTATATTTTATGAATAATCATGTTTAAATGACGAAGCCGGCCGGACATTAAAATTTCCGTTTTCTTTTTCCTTACATTCTTCAATGCTACACATAAATGCATGGTTGTAGTAGAACTTTTCTGTGTATTAGTTGCAACTCCCATAAAGAATTTACTGTATTTTTTATTTAATATAATTTAAAAAATTATATAGAAAATCGGGTACTCTTATATATCGGGAATAGTTTCGAACTGTTAATAGCAAAATATACAAACATATTGTATAATCGCTTTGAAATAATTAGAAATATACTTAAAAAATAATTACTACGGAGCTTTCTTTAGAACTTCAGCTTAATGATATTTTAAAATATCTTAAACTCAGAAAAATCTGTCACTTTAACTTTTCATTATTCATATGGCATTTGCTCTAAAAATATTTATTTGTTATCTTTTGTCTCTTTCATCTAATGTCATGTTCATTATTTGCTTTCAAAAACCAATATGTCTTGATTTGCATATAAATAACTAGAATTGTTGTATTTTGAACCGAATAGTATGAATAATTAAGTTGTTTTTCTACTATATTATGATGTTTATATATATTTTGCAGTTTTCAGCTTCACACATACATTTATACATCAATATAATACAAGGGGTGCAATATTTATAAAATTGCTTAATATTATGTTCGACATTTTTTTACCCACCATATTGTCATTGCGTTTGTAACACACCGAAATATTGGTCATAGATCCACAAAAGTATATATATTCTGGGTACTTATTAAATTCTAAGACGATCTAACCATGTCCGTCCGTCCATCTGTCCGTCTGTCTGTTGAAATCACGATAGGGACCACTTGGAAGTAGCAAATTTTGCATAAATATTTTCTAATGCTAAGGTTTGTTTGGTATTGAAAATGGGAAATATCGCTCCACGTTTTCGGATAGCCCCCATACATGTGGACCCCCGAAATACAGTTTTAACGGTCATAACTGTTTGAAAAGTACGAGTATAGCGATGAAATTCGACATAAATAAGTTTTATATAATTCCAAAATCTCTCCATTAAATTTTATGAGGATAAGGTCCCCTTAAAAATTGACTATAACGCTCATTACTGGCTTAAAAATACGCGTAAAGTGATAAAATTCGACACCAAAATCTCCGTACTATTTTTTTTTTAGGATCGGCCTATAAGTGACCCTACCCTCCATATAAGGTCACCTTCTGAAAATTACTTTAATGCTCATTGCTGGCTAAAAAATACATACGAGTATAACGATGAAATTTGACATAAGTAAGTTCCTCGCGAGCCAAAATCTCTCTAACAAATTGTATGTAGATCGGTCAATAATTGATCCTACCCCCCATATAAGGTCCCCTTTAGAAAACTCTTTTAACGCTCATTGGCTTAAAAATACGTGTAAAGTGATGAAATTCTACAATCATAAGTTATATACGAGCCAAAATCTCTCTACCAAATTTAGTAAGGATCGGTCCATAATTGACCCTATCGCCCATACAAGGTCCCCTTCCGAAAATGACTTTAGAGCCCACTACTGGCAAAAAAATACGTTTATATATTTTTTTTTTTTTAATTAACATTTTTTTTAAATTAATATTTTGTTAAGAGCTCGGTCCATAATTGACTTAAACCATATTCCAACTATCGCCCTAATATTTATAGGAGGGGGCATTCCTTTAAGGCATACGGTTTGATGGTGAGTATATGAGATTCGTCACAGCCGAATATAACACTCTTACTTGTTTGTTTCTTATTTTGTTAACTTAAGACCATAATTAAAAATTACCAAAAGTTATGGGAATAGGTTTCTTTAAATGAATCAAAAAAATCTGAAAATTAGTTTAGAACAATTCTTCACCATATTGCGTTTTATTCGCCCAATGACGGGGACAATAGAATAGTTCTTCTAAATATTTAAATTTTGACAACAAATTTTTTTTTGGTCATAATAAATGTTTCAACTATTTTATTTATTTTTTGCTTTTTGTATAAGGAAATACAAATAGCTACAACAAAGAAATCTCACCAAGCAAACAAACCAATTTTTTTTGTATACATTTACTTAGTACTTTTCTTATATATCCGCATTTTTCACTTACCTGATCTGCCCGTTGGTATTGTTTGTACAGCTGTTGTTGCTGACAATGTCTTATCCGTTGGTAGGACTACAGGCGGTATTGGCAAGGGACTCACTGTTGATGTTGTTGTTAAATCACAACATTCTCTTTCAGGAAATTCACTACATCGCACCAATTGCAAGGCGCCAAATATGGCAAACCATAGAGTCAGACAACAAGAAGATAGAATTTTTAAGTTTTTTATTTTAAAACGGGTCATGATGATGCCACCACCAACGATGACGATGACAACGATGATGATGACGACGACGTCGACGTCAACAACACAACACACACCAAAAACGACAACAACGTAGTAAATTTGTTTATTATTTTTGTTGTTACTACAACTAGTGTTGCTGCTGTTGCAAGTACTTTAATTGCTATGGTGATTATATTGTTGTTATTGCTAAAGTTTATGCTGTTGATGTGTTTTACTCCCTTCGTTTAACAAATACTTTCTGCTTCTACTTCTTCTGTTGCATTTGCATACACACATACATATATAGTATGTTGCATTCAAAATGTAGCTTATTGTGGGTGAGTAGGGAGGTTTTTTTATATTTAAAGCTGAGTAAAGTATATTTTGTATATTGTTATAATAACAGATTTTGTTGTTACTGCAATTTGTGTGTATGCTGCTGCTGCTGTTGCTTTCTTTACTTTCAGATTATTGTAGTTGATAGCATGCAACAACACATTGGGTATTAAAAGTGTTTGTGCTGTTGCAGTTTTTCTTTTCCTTTCTTATGTTTTTTTTGCTTTGTTTGCTGATTTTATTTATTTTTATAAAGAGTTTTAAAAAGGATATTTTTCTGCTTGCCAAAGAGGTTGAAAAATAAAATAGTTTTATGCAGTTTTTGTGATTTCGGCATATTTTCCTTTTAAATCTTAAAATAAGATTCTAAAAGGACAAGAGAGTTTCAGTCAGTTTGTTATTTATATATGTAATTACAAAAATATTGCAAGTAAAGTCTTTTGTTTATTAGAAGTATTTGTTTAATTTTTTAAATTTAGTTTTTTTAATTGATTTTTAATGTTTTTTCTTTACAGATTTTGCTAATCAAGGTGAGTTTTTTTTGTTAGTATAACTTTCGGCATTCTTTGTTGCAATAGCTGAGAAATTATTATTGTTAATAATAAATATAAAATATTCAAAACTTTGTCTAAATGTGTGTCTGAACTTGTTGTATTAAGGAAATTCATCACCAGTCTAATTGAATTCAATCTTGCAACACATAAGATTGTTTCAGATTGGTACATTGTACTTTTATATTTTAGCCAACATTTATAAATAAAATATATTTCCTAGAATTTGTTTAACATTATATAACAAGTTTTAATTGAAGAAATTAATTGTGTACAAAGATACTTGAAATTAAACGGCCAATATATTATTTAGTATTCCATGGATGTTAATTGAAGGCTATTATATTGAGGTTTCTCAACAACTTTGGCATTATTTATTACACTGGTACAGAAAAACTAAAAACAACTAAATATTATAAAAATTTTACACTTTTCATTTGTATGTAGAAAATTATAAAAAAACAGCGTATATACTAAAATTACAGACAAAAAAATTGTACCAATAAAAAAAAATTTAAAATAAATAAAACGAGCTCAATGAAAGAAAAAACCGTAAAGTACTAATGGCCTCAAAAAAGTTTTGTTTTATTAACTATTTTTTGTAAATGCGGTTTTTTACTAAAAAAGTTGTTTTTTGTTTGTTTAATTTATTTTTTTCTATTCGTTTTTTTTTTTTTGTACAATATTTTCATGCTATACTTCTTTCTTTTTTGTTTGTAATCTTGTCTGAAATTATCATGATGTTTTTTTATTTATATATAGAATTTACCCAGCAGTTGTTTTGCCTACTGCACCATAGAAAGTAGTTAGTTAGCCTAGCCTAACTGTAGTAACCCTGTGGCGAAGGGAACTGATACGAAATTTGTCACGCCTTAGTTCTAAAGAGATAGGGACCGGTTCTAGTTCTGACACTTTATATGGTGGGGACCTGTCACTTTAACATGGCGATGTCCTACGATGGGGTTAATTGAAACCTTTTTCATACTCTGTGACATGTCACGGAACTTAATTAATGAAACAATAATAAAAATTTGCAAATGTAAATTTTTTTAAATAAAAGGGTTACTCCACGCTCGTAAAAAGAGAACATGTCATTTAACATGTCCAAAAGTCTCGAGTATTTATCAATAGATTTCAATCAATTTGCTAAAACAAAATTTATTCAATATTTGTCACTTCTCAGGCTAATGCCATATTAATGTGGAGTTATAATCATAATAAATCACCATGGATTTATTACAATCCAATCAGGAGATAAGTCTAGTTTTCACCTATCACATTTCTGTACTTTTTCTAATAATATTATCTTCACATATCACGGAACAGGTACTTTTGGATCAATTGATAGAAATTTCCCGCAGGCAATCTATTGCTAAGTAGATATTATTTCCTTTCAATATAAGTAAAGTATGGTAATGAAATCTCTTAAAAACCAATTGATTTTTGGATAGGTAAACTATTCACTGCGATACAGAAACCGCGAACTGCAGGATCCACCATATAGAAATTATTCTGAGAGTGTGTATTACATTGTTCTGCAAATGGGAGTGTGTGTAAAAAAAAAAACTTTTGTAAATTATTTATATTTATTCTACAAATTATATGTAGTTTGTTGTAGTATGTAGTAGTTTCCTTTTTTTTTATTTTTTTCGTGTATTTTTAATTATAATGTCTGCCATACTCGTATTAAGTTGTTTTTTTTTTTTGTTGTTGCCGCTGTTAATTTTCAATCTGACACAGTTTTTTTCGGTATTATTTTTATTTTCTCAAGTTTTATTGTTGTTCATGTATGTTGAAATTATACACACCATTATGTGGTATTTTACATGTTAAAGCTGTTATAACGTTAAAATCAAACACTAACAGTGATTTGTAAAAAAGAGATCCATGATCCACTTTAATGTAGATCATTCTCTTAACAAATTATAATCGTTTAGATCAAGTGGTTTTTCAACTAGGAGCAAAAAGTTAATTAAAAATATATTAATTTCTATTTTTAATCAAGTTCACGATATTATCAAGTTGTATTAATTTCGTCAATTATATAATCAAACTATAATTAAATTGAATTTCGGAAGTCGACCCTATAAATTGCATTATAGTATTCTAAGCTTGTATAACGTGACTAGTTTTAAAATTTTAAACAACCGTTTTAAAATTTCCAATTTCAAATTTTATAAACACCAGCTATAGCTCATCGTAATGTAATAAAATAGATATTATTGTAAATGTATATACAGACATACATATATCAATATTACAGAAAATTAAAAAAAACAAGTTAGAGTGCTATATTCGGCTGAGCCGAATCTTAAATACCCTCCACTAGCTACTTTTATATTAATACTTTTTTAATTGATCAAATATTTGTAGAAATAAGTTTTCTCATGTCTTAAATAGAAAAACCCCAAGATTTAAACAGCTTAAATCTGTTACAATTCCAAGATTTGTTGAACATTACAAACCCCATTTTCTTTTATATTTTTATAGCGCCCTTAGATATGCTTTAACGATATTTAATAATGTGCATGTATGCATGTGTGTGAAAGATTTAAGGATTTTCAAAATACATATATATAATTTTGTTCTACACAAATTGTTTTTAGGGGCAGGACCTAGTATGGGAAGCTAAATTTCTGTACATAAAAGCTATATTTCAGTCAAATTTTGTATCTACATCGTAATTTAGTAATAAGTAATGTGTGTTCAAGTGATTTTCTGAAGGGACACTTGCATGGGACCGAGCGCACCCATGTTATGGACCGATCGTGAAAAAATCTTGAAATATAATTTTTGTATACCAAACTAATATTTGTGCTAAATTTTGAATCAATAGCTTTATTTGGTAATGAGTAATGTGCGTTTAAGAGATTTTCGTAAAAGGACCTTGTATGGGAGCTATGACCAATTATGTATATAAAGACAATATTTCAAAATTCTGTATCTATATCATTATTTGGCAATGAATATTGTGCATTTAAGTGATATTCTGGAGGGGACCAAGTATGGGAGCTATGACCAAATTTGGACCGATTGCAAAACAATTTTATAGTGTAATTTATGTATATAAGAGCAATATTTGTGCTAAATGTATGGATATCAATATTTTGTAATGAGTTATGTGAGTTGACCTTGTATGGGAGCTATGACCGATCGGAAAAAACTTCCATAAAAATATTTCTGTATATGTGAGCAATACTTGTACCAAATTGTATATGGATATCTTAATTTAGTAATGAGTTATGTGCGTTTAAGAGATTTTCGGGAGGGGACCTTGTACGGGAGCTATGACCAATTATGGACCGATCGGGAAAAAAATTCATGGTAATATTTTTATATGTGAGAGCTATACTTGTACCAAACTTTATATGGATATTTTAATTTAGTAATGAGTTATGTGTGTTTAAGTGATTTTCGGGAGGGGACCTTGTATGGGAGCTATGACCAATTATGGACCGATCGGAAAAAAATTTCATAGTAATATTTCTGTGCATATGAGCAATACTTGTACCAAACTTTATATGGATATCTTAATTTAGTAATAAATTATGCGCGTTTAAGTGATTTTCGGCAAGGGTCCTTGACCAATGACTATGACCAATTATGGACCGATCGGAAAAAAATTTCATAATAATATTTCTGTATGCGAGAACAATAATTGTACCAAATTTTATATGGATATCTTAATTTAGTAATGAGTTATGCGCGTTTAAGTTATTTTCGGGAAGGGTCCTTGTATGGGAGCTATGATCAATTATGGACCGATCGCAAAAAAAATTGCACAGAAATATTTCTGTATATGAGAGCAATACTTGTACCAAATTTTATATGGATAACTTAATTTAGTAATGAGTTATGTGCGTTTAAGTGATTTTCGGGAGGGGACCTTGTATGGGAGCTATGACCAATTATGGACCGATCGGAAAAAACTTTCACAGTAATATTTTTGTGCATACGAGCAATACTTTTTCCAAATTTTATATGGATATCTTAATTTTGTAATGAGTTATGTGCGTTTAAGTTATTTTCGGGAGGGGACCTTGTATGGGAGCTATGTCCAATTATGGACCGATCCAGAAAATTTTTTCTTTAAATGAATTCTATTGACATAGGATTTTAATTTGTAAAATTTTGTGAAGATATCAACATTCTGACGGAAGTTATTAACAAAAAACTCATTTTCCGGGAATATGTACTTTTGTATGGGAGGTATATGAAATTATGGACCGATTCTGGAAATTTTCAGCAGAAATCAAGATCTTGTGTAGAAACGAATGTGTGATGACTTTCATTTTCGAGAAAATTACATCAGAATGTGTAAAAAATGCTTATTTTTTTCGGAGTTGTTTTAAATTTTGATTCATAACTTTTCCCGATGTGAACCGATTTTGCTCATTTTCAATACCAAACTGTACCGGATAATAATGAATATTTTGGGTGAATTTGGTTAAATTATATTGCTTCGTTTTAACGTGAGCGTGTTTTACACAGACAGACAGACAGACGGACGGACAGACGGACATAGCTAAATCGACTCAGAATTTCATAAGGACCCAGAATATATATACTTTGTTGGGTCTCAGATGAATATTTCTTGGTGTTACACACGGAATGACAAAGTTATATATACCCTCTATCACCACTGATGGTGGTGGAGGGTATAAAAACAGTCGTAGAACGGAAAACTATCAAAAAGTTTATATTTATAGATTATCATTATATATTATCTTTAAATACAAATTTTTATACAATCAGGAAGCTGCGTGTCAAATTTTATGTACTAGAAAGTCTCCTTTTTAAATTTTCGTT